AACTGTGTCTCCTGACTTCAGCTTCTGGATTTCTATTTTATAGTCATCTACTTTCCTACTGAAAACCAAATTGTGCTCTTCTGGTATACTACTTTATCCCCAGGGAACTACAAAGCTGCAGCCCCAACTCCTTCGAGACAGAGGAATGCTCAGACCTGAGGTTGCTGTGACTGGTTTATGCAGGTCTGGGGATTGAAGTCAGGGCTCTGGGCATTTTAGGTAAATACTCCAACTGAGCTACCCCAGCCCTAAGATTAAGGTCCTTGGGAAATTTGAATCTGGGTGATATTTTTGAGTGATCTCCACTGTGGTTTGTGGGGTCCCAGGAAAATTTCACTGGGTGGTGTGGATAATCCATTCCATAGCAGCTAATGCTGCTAAGTGACTCAAGATGAATCTAATGGCCTTTCTGCCACAAATGTGGAGATGAAGTTTACACCAAAATCTGAGGAGGAAGCCAAGCCAGGACACCAGAGAAGCACTCTGCCTCCAAAGGAAGCCCAATCAGAGTTTTCAAGTTCCTTAATTACCTCAGTTAGGGTTCCTATTGCTGTGATGAAACACCATGACCAAAAACACAAGTTGGGGAGGACAGGGCTTATTATGCTCATAGTTGCATGTCATAGTCCATCACTGAAGGAAGCCAGGGCAGGAACTGAAACAGGGCAGGAACCTGGAGGCAGGAGCTGATGCAGAAGCCATGGAGGGGTGCTGCTTACTGGCTTGCTCTTCATGACTTGCTCAACCTGCTTTCTTATAGAACCCAGGACCACCAGCCCAGGGGTGGCCCCATCCACCAGGGCTGGGCCCTCCCACATCAAACACTAATTAAGAAAATGCCACACAGTGGGATCTTTTGGAAGCATTTTCTCAGTTGAGGTTCCCTCTTTTCAGATGACTCTAGCTTGTGTCAAGTTGACATAAAACCAATGTGGGTACTAACCAAACAACCATGCAGGAAGTAGCTGTACTGAACTTTCAAAGTGACATGTATTTCAAACATGTCCTCTTTACAAATTGCCACCAAGACCACAAATGAAAACAAGGTTCTTTCCAGATTTTGAAACTAAATAATTAGAATAATTAGTGATCTGGGCAGTGGTGGCCCATGCCTTTAATCCCAGCTCTTGAGATGGGGAAGCAGGCAGATCTCTGAGTTCAAGGCCAGCCTGGTCAACAAAGCAAGTTGCAGGACAGTTGGGGCTACACAGAGTAACTGTCCTGAAACCAACCGACCCCAAACCAAAACCCTAACAATAGAGCTATATACAAATACAACTGACAATCCCCTCTCCCTTTCTTTTATTAGTTTATTAACATGTTTTTGGGCAACTGGCACCTAAGGGTCAGGAACCAAGGAAAATCCCAACAGCTCTGGGGATTAATCGCCTCCTGGCTGGCTCATAAAAGTTACTAAGTACTTGGATTCATTAAATTTACCTGCCACATTAGTAAGATTTGCTTATGTGTATGTGTGTCAGTGTTCGTGTAAAATGCCTGCAAGAGGCTGGAGGGGTCCCTCTCCTGCAACTGGAGTGACAGGTGGTTGTGAGCTGCCTGATTATGGGTGATGGGAACTGAACTTCCATCCTCTGCAAGATCTTTCAATGTCCTTAACCACAGAACTATCGCTCTAGCCCTATTCCCTGTCTTTTAAAAGAAATTGAAGGCTGAGATGGCTCAGTGGGTAAGACATCTGTGGCCAAGCCTGGGGATGTGAGTTTGATCCAGAGCAAGCTGGCTCATAACAGCCCCATTTGTGAGCTCTGGGTTTGACAGTGAGATCCAGCCTCAGTTAACAAGGTGGAAAAGCAGTAGATGATCCCTGATGTCAGCCTTGGGACTCCCCTGTGCATATGCACACAGATGTACCCACCCACTTGCAAGCCCACACAAATGCACACCAGTAAAAAGAAAATGGATTTACTTATACTTTGTTGAAACACAGGAGTGGGAGGACACACAACGAGTCTTTCCTGTTTCTTCTGTGGCCATCTTGCAATTTACCACGTTTACAAATTTTTATTCTTTTTAGTATGTGGGGGGCTCATGTTGTCACGGTGAGTGGTAATGTGGAGGCTGGAAGGTGCCTTTGTGGGCTCACTTCTGTTCTTCCACCTTTACTTGGGTTCCAGGATTTGAACTTAGGTCCTCAGTTTTACAATTTTTAAGCAGCTCTCCAGACAAAGGCCAGATATATAAACCTGTGAGGAGGGGTAATGGTCCTTTCCCAGGGGAAGGCTGCCTGTGCCCAAGACTTAAGCCCAGGAATAGGAAAATGGGTGTCTGAACAGAGCGCCTACTTTGAAAAAGAAAGGAATTGGGTTTGTGGCAGGCCCATTCTAGGCCTGCCATCCTTTTTTTTTTTTTTTTTTTTTTTTTTTTTTTTTTTTGAGACAGGGACTCTCTGTATTGCTTTGAAACCTGTCCTAGAACTAGCTCTGTAGACCAGGCTGGCCTCAAAATCACAGAGATCCCCCTGCCTCTGCCTCCCGAGTGCTGGGACTAAAGGCGTGTGCCACCAACGCCCAGCTTGACCCATTCCTTTGGTTGGTAGAGAGTGTCAGGGTCCACACTCCTGATAAAACCCCATAAAAACAGTAACTTTCAAAGTGATAGCTGATAGCTGAAGGGAAGGGGGTCAATGGTTCTCAGCTGAAGAAACTTGGTTGTGTCTGGCTCTGAGGTGACCAGAGTTCCTCCATCTTATACAGTGACAGTGCTGATCTGAGTTCCTCCATTTTGAGACCAGTCACCAAGAGAGTGTCTTTTTATCTTGTTTATATAAATAACCATTTGCCAAACACCAAGAGACACAAATGGAAAAGTAATTGATTTGTACCTATAAATGATGTCTGTGACTACATCAACTTAGCAGAAATGCCAGGCACATGAGCTTATCTAGATGTGACCCCTTACCTGGGCTGTCTTCCCACCTTATAGTATTTGAAAGTATCTCTCTCTCTCTCTCTCTCTCTCTCTCTCTCTCTCTCTCTCTCTTCTTTCTTTCTCTCTCTTTTGGATTGGTTCTCATTCTGTAGTCCAGATATCTCAAACTTGCAGCAATCCCCCTGCTTCATCCTTTTGGCTGCTGGGCTTGAAGGCCCGAGCCACCTTGATGCTTGATTTATTTAGAGGGTTCTAAGGAAACTTTATTCTCACCTCTTAATGAGACTATGGGGCAGTTCCTGAGGAGGGCCAAATCAAAATGTAGGCCCAAAGGGTAAAGAATTCCTTACTGAGCTAAAGCAAAGGGGAGTGGAGGAGGCATGTGTGTTGAGTGTAAACAAAATCTGTAATCTCAGTTGTGAAATTCACTGTTATAGGGTTACTGTTGGGAAAGGAGTCTGATTAAACTCAAAGGTCAAACAAGCTTCCCCATGAAGTGTTATTTTAACATCCTTATTTGAAATGTTAAAAAGGAGCCCTGGCCACAAAGTGTTGAAATGCAACTTCCAGCTGGGAGACTTCAACCTCACTCTGGGTGAGGGGCTCTCTCCTCCCTCCCATCCTTAAACTTTCCCTATTTCTCTCCTACCTCAGCCTCTGCCTTCCAGACTGCCTGGCTGAGTCCTGCAGACTCTTCAACCCTTTTGAAGACATTCTGTAACTTGTTAAAGATGTCCAGGGGTGTGGTGTGATGAGTTATTACATTGAGTAATGAAGATTGGGTTGGGGTGAAAAACATGTTCTCCTGTGGTCACAGCAGATATCACAGTTGAAGAGAATTGTGGATTTGTTACTCAATCCGTTCTGACGTTATGGGAAGGTACAATTTTGCCTTTGTCTATTACTGGCCATCTTGCCCCAGAGGCTTTTAAACGCAAGCAGTGATGTCTGTAGAATATGTCCTAGGACCTAAGTAGTTTTCAAGTGAGCTCAAAAAGTATGGCTTGGATCCAAGGGACTGAGCAGGCATGACCCCACACAGGTTTCAAATGGTGTACAGATGGCCCTGTCCTGATGCAGCACCTGAGCCTGCGCAGTCCTTCCTGGCCTGTTTTAGGATCAGTCACCTGCTTGGTGGGGGGAGGGAGGCTCAGGCGGCTGTTGGTCTTCAGCTCAAATGACTCACTGTGTCCAGGAGGGAGTCCGTGGTCATCAACAGGCTGTTTGGGGCAAAGGGGAACGCAAAGCCGACCCTAGGAAAACCCTGGACTAGGTTGATAGATGCTTCCTCCGAGGTCGGATGCGGATACAATGTTGCCAGCCAGTTGCCAACTATAAATAAGTCAAAGGGCGAGTGACCAGCTATCCTAGTACTGCAACATACACTGAGGACAGTTCCCCAAGATTCCTGGATGGGATGCTGACCCAGGGGTGGGGTGGAGGGAGGGTTGGGAGTAGGGTCCAAAGAATTGGCCCGCGATCCAGAAATATTCGGGCGTCCCAGGAGAACCCAGAGCGAGGGTGGTCTAGCCTGAGTCATCAAAACATCACAGAGCTCAAAGGGACTTCAGCAGCTGGGAATGGGGTCTAGGCTGAGTGAGGCTCAGGAGGATTCCAGGAGACTGAATTCCAGGCTGGGCCCAGGATCACTCCATTACCGGGTTGGGGCAGCACCCCAGGAAGGCTGCAGGGAACCAACGGGGGTCCAGGGTTGGCTCAGAACACCCGAAGAACTTCAGGGGATGAGGGGGGTCCACGTTGGGCCCCGGAACACCGCGTACCCCAAAATGATTTAGGGGACTGAAACGGGGTCCAAGATGGGCCCATAAACACCCCGGTGGGTTCCCGGTAGGACTCCAGGGGACTGGGGGGTCCAGGCTGGGTCTAGGAACATCCCAGTGGCCCGGGAGGGTCAGGGAGGGTCCAGGCTGGACCCGCGGGGCGCCCCTCCTGTCCCCTCCCCCGCCCGCCGTCCGTTGGCCACGGCGCCCGCCGCTGCGCCGCGGGCCCGACTCCTCCCCCGCGCGTCCGTCCGCGCGTGTCCCCGCGTCCCCGCGCCCGCCGTCCCGCGCCGGCGGAACTGTGGGATCGCCGCGCACAGGAAGTGGCGGCGGCGCCGAGGCGGAGGGCGGCGATGGGGGCCCGGGGCGGCGGGCGCCGCACTCGCTGAGGCCCGACGCAGGGCCGGGCCGGGCCCAGGCCGAGCGCAGCGGCCGCACGCGCCGACGCGAGGATCGCGACCAGCAGGTGGAGTGCAGGTGAGCCGCGCCGCGCCCCGCCGAGCCGCCCGAGGTCGCCCCCGCCCGCGGTCGCCGGGCCCCGCCGCAGTGGCCGGCTGCGCTCCGCGGGGCGCGCGGCCTGGGAACGCGGCGCTGGAGACTCCGGGTCCGCCCGGCCCCTGTGCGGCCTGCCGGGCTCGCTGGTGCCGTGCGGGGTGCTCAGCGGCCTGGGGAGGGGCGATCGGGAGAGATGGGGGTGCGGGGCCGGGGAGAGGGCCTGGGCGGCCTCTGGCCCCTCTCCGGGGGACCTTGTTCTGCTCCTGGCTCCTCGGATTGGGGAGCCCCACGCCTGATTTCGAGGGGGCCCTATGGGCTAGTTTCACTTTTTGCTTGCTCAACACAGAGGGAGGGTTGCAGGTGGGACGCCCTGCAGAAAGGTGCGAGGGCTTGCTTTGACTTTGGCGTTGAGACCAAAGGCCGACTGTGAATTTCCACGTTTCACTCAGGCGCTGGGGTCATTCAGTAACCAGAGCCTCTTGAGGAAAACACTTGTCCACGGTAGGCCACCAAGGAGCCTTGGAGCAGTTGACCCCAGGTACCCATGACAGGAGGATTGTAGCACTTATGTGCAATATATGCAGGTTTCCTTTTTAACTTTGAGAGAAGTTTGGTGGCACAGGGAATGGTTTTAGAAATGGCCTCCCAGACCTAACTTTTAAAGCAGTGTGGAAAGTCTTGTCTAAGAAAATACTTAAGAGGCTGGGCTCTTTTCCCTGGGAAACTAGGAGGCTACTTGCATTTGATACAGACTGGAATGACTTGTATCTGTTGGAACTGAGTGGGAGCAGCCCTTTCTGCTGCGATGGAAACGGACTGTACCTCTTCAAAGAGGTCTCGGTGTGCACTTTGTCTCATTTGATCACTTCCTTACTGTCCCCTCTCTTTAGATAAGCGGGACCCTTGCTGGCTTTGGGAGTTAGCTTGTAAAGCAGATTACTAGTATCTAGCCCTGTGCGCTGTGGTTACATTGTTTCCAAAAGCAGTTACAAGTGTTGGTGTTCCCAGCCTCTCTTTGGTTTTGGTGGTGTGTGCTTCTTGGAGTGGCTATGATCAGCAGATGGATGTCATATGGGTGGCTGACCTAGCTCAGTATGGACCTGCTGGAGGCCTTGTGTGTAACCCCACCTAGGCTTATCTGCACAGCATCATGGCAGAAGGTCCAGGTCTTGGAAGTTGCCTCCAGGACGGGTGGGAAGAGGGTTAAACAATGGGTCCTAGCGAAAGAACATGGAAGAGATGCTGGACTTGAAGGAAGGTCTTTGTCCCACACTGCTCCCAGATAAAGGCCCTGGGAAAACTGTGAGCAGATAGTCACAGATCTTTGGAAGTTAGAAAAGAACATCTGTCACAGCAGTCCTTGTTTGCTTCACTTCTGGGGCTTGTAGGTTCCACCCTGTGCCGACACACTCTGAGCCACACTGGGGTGTGAGGCTTGCCCTGCTCCTCCGTTATGTCACAAATTGCCACAGCCAGAATTGAAAGGGATTCCCATCTTCTCACACCTGACAGGAGAGTAAGTCTATACATTTCATCTCTGGCCCAGTTGTAGGTAGGTAGGGCATGCTGAGGTCTTTTTTATAATAGGGGAAAAGCAAAGATGAAAATTTACTATTGTTTCAGGGGTCAGGTGTCATCATTGATCCAATCTCACTCCTGACAAGTTGACACTGGTTAACTGGCCCAGTTCCAATTACCCCTCTCAAGATGGAGCTGGAATTTGTCCTCTTCTCTGACTTGTGGCATTGCTTAGGTCCTGCAGTGTGACCCAATATCATAGCTTTTCAGATCCAGCAGTGGACCCTTGGCATCCCCCACTCCCTCTCTTGCCAAAGCAACGAGCACTTCCCTACACTCCTCTCCCTTATCCCACACAATTCTCCCTTCTCTCCATTCTGGCCTTGTGCACACCTCTGTGATTTTTCCTACCACATTCTGTCTGGTGAGGGTTGAACAGCTTGTCCGGCCATCAGCATCTTGCTGACTTGTCTGACATGAGCCCTGTAGCTGCTTAGTCTTCTCATTAAGAAGTTTCTGCTACTGGAGAAACTGAGTTTTGTAAAAACAGTTGCTCAGGGACATCATGGGGGTTTTTCTTTAGTCAACTGAAGAACATTGGGGTCTTGAATTTTTTGAGCTGCAATGTGAGCAACTGAATAGTGCATCATGCCTAGAACAAGGTCGAAGTAGCTATAGGGTTATTTTGAGCCTATTAACCTCAAAATGCTTTGTTTTGGGCAATTGAAATAGTGGTTCTTCTTTGAACAGTCTTGCTGCTTTGTTTAGAGTCCACCATGTCCCGATTTTGTTTGTCAGGCAAAGTCCAGGAGTGCACACTTGTCATCTGGACACAGCTGTGCTTAGTTGTAAGGGATGGAGAGGCAGGCTGATAGGGCCCATGGTTCTTGCTGTATTTGTGACTGGAGTAGGTGGGTGCTGTGTCCAATGACCACTTCTCTTTCACATGTGGATGGATGGGACATAGGCAGCATCATGTTTTAGATATAAGTGTGAGTGGAGGGCAACACAGGCGTGTCTTTCAGGATGTGACAGCCAGAAACCTCCCTCCTGGCTGGAGTGTTTTGTGTCACTTAGGACTAAAAGCCAAAGCTAGGTCTTTTTGATGGGAACAAGGTGCCAGCGGCTCAAAGGCCTATCCCTCTATGATCCAGGAGCCATGCATCATTAATGGGCAGTGTCTCCTTTCCTTTTGGGAAGGTGGGGGTGAGATTCATAATAAATGACAGTGGCCGTGAATATAGAGTAGTGGCAGAAGCTGCCGCAGGACACAGCCTCTCCCCAACTTGGAGCTCCAGCTTTGGCTCTGTTTCCCCATCACTGCTGGCTGGCCAGGGGTGCTCTTCCTCTGGTAATTTGCTGACAGGAATATTCAATAGGTATATGCTGATATTACATTTGCCACTACTTCACAAACAACTTTATTTATTTATTTATTTAGTGTGTATGTGTACCTGTGTGTGTTTGGTGTGTTTGTGCATGTGGGTGCGTGTATGCGGAGTTCACAGGTCAACACTGGTTATCTTCTTCAATTGTTCTCCACTTGATTTTTTTTTTAAAGAAAGATTTATTTGTTTTATGTGGATGAGTGTTTTGCCTGCATGTGTGTAATGACACTGCATACTTGTCCTGATGTAGGAGGAAGCCAGAAGAGGGCACTGGATCCCCTGAAACTGGAGTTAGAGATGATTGTGAGCCACCAGGTGGGTGCTGGGAATCAAACCAGGGACTCTTGTTCTTAACCACCCAATTACTCCTCCAGCCCCACCCTATTTTTTTAAGGTTTATTTTTATTTCTCCTTCTGTGTCCTGCTCTGTTCCTCCCTCTGTACACTCCCATTCACTCTCTTGCTTATTCCCCACCTCGAGTGTGTGTGTGTGTGTGTGTGTGTGTGTGTGTGTGTGTATGTGTGTGTGATGGAAGCCAGAAGTTGTCAGACCTCTCCCCTGGAGCTAGAGTTACAAGTGGTTGTGAGTCACCCATGGCTGCTGGGAATTGAACCTGGGTCCTCTGTAGGAGCAGCAAGTGCTCTTAATTGCTGACCTCTTCTCTGGGCTCATCTGCCTTATTTTTTCAGACAGGGTCTTTCACTGCACCTGATTTAGCCAGGCTGGCTGGCCAGCCAACAGGCACCAGGTACTCTCCTGTTTCCCTCCCAGAGCCAGGGTTATGGTCTGAGCTGCTGCACTGGGCTGTTTACATAGGTGCTGGGGATCTGTGGTCCTCATGCTGTGTGACATCCTCCAGCCCCTGCCTCTACTTCAGGATATACATTGCTTATCTCTTTGCAGCTGACAATGTAGCCATTGTGCCTGTTTATATACATCTAGTTTAAATCTCAGAGCAACACTGAAGAGAGAAATTTCTAGAACATGGATGAGAGCCTGGCGCTGGTGGGGCAAACCTTTAGTCCCAGCATTTGGGAGGCAGAGGCAGGCAGATCTCTGTATGTTTGAGGCCAGCCTGATTTACAGGGTTAGTTCCAGGACAGGCTCCAAAGCAATACAGAGAAACCCTGTCTCAAAAAACAAAACAAAACAAAACAATGGATGAGGAGAACAAGGTGGTCAGCCTTGGGCTTGGCAGGTCTAGATTTCAGTCACAGGTACCACTGAATCTGCAGGTGTTGTTCTGTTCACCAGACCACACGATGACATCTGATTTGTGAAAATTCAAATTTCTTTTTTTTTAATTTAATTTATTATTTTACATGTCGATCCCAGTTCCCTCCCCCTCCCTCCTGAAAATTCAAATTTTTAAGATAAATTAAGTGACTAGCTTTACATGCACATTTGTGTTAAGACTCAGGTCATTGATAGAGACTATTCTTGCTGTATAGGGCTCAAAATCCCCATGTGACATTGGAGCCACAGCTGTGTGCTAGGAGTGGTGTTGGACTGGGTAGAAAGTACGCTCATTGGGTTTTTCTTCTGCCTGGGTGTGAAAGGCTGTATGTTGACTATTAACACACAGCATCTGCTGATGATCCAGTCAGGCTTCCTATTGATTGATTTAAGTCATTGTCCCAGTGTAATTGGAGTGAGCAATTGAGTGAACCAGTGTGCTTTTTATTAGAGACCCAGAGAAGCAGTCGGGGTACCTAGAAAAATGTGCTAAGATAGCTGGGATTTTTGCTGGACCAAGGCAGAAGTCAGGTCATTAAATGAAGGCCATATCAGCTAGAAATGGGAAATGGGTACCATGATGAAATTCAAAGTACAAGCGGTCTCCTGGGAAAATGCTGTTGGTGGCAGCATTGTGGTGACCCTTTAGGCATGTTTGTGGAAGGAAGCATGCCTGAGGAGGAAGAATCTCAGCCCTGAGGAAGGTTCAGCCAGCCTCATGAAGAGAGCCTCAAACCAGGAGGGGCCCGTGCCCTGGAAGGCTCTCAGTGTGTGTCCCTCCTAGTTGCCTGTGAGTGCAGCACCCCCAGCACCTGTAAGTCCCCTGGTCTTATAGCCTCACCTGTCACTGAAGATGACAAGGAGGCCACTTCAGAGATGAAGTTAAAGCTTAGTAACTTTATTTTTCCAGTTTGGGCATTTCTTGGAAATACTGGGGCAGGAGGGCCACATGTCTTATCATCTTGTGCATGCATGCTAGGCAAGCATTCTACCAGCAAGCCATATCCCCAGCACGAAAGCCTAATAACCTAGTGTATTTTGAGTGTTTGCCTGAATACATGTCTGTTTATCATATGAATGGTGCCCAAAGAGGTCAGAAGAGGGCATAGAATCCACTGTAACTGGAGTAAGGACAGTTGTGAGATGCCATGTGGATGCTGGGAACTGAACCCAGGTTCTGTGGAAGAGCAGCCAGTGATGAGCCATCTCTCCAGCCTTGGGTTTAATACATATATGCACGCGCGCACACACACACACACACACACACACACACACACAGAGTCAGGGTCTCTTAACATAATCCTGGCTATCTTGGAATTTACTGTGTAGACCAAGCTAGTTTTGAAATCAGAGATCTGCTTGTCTCTTACTCCTGAATGCTGGTAACTTTAGATA